ATATCAAATACTGAACCCCGCAGGCAGATGAACGGTTCTATTGAGTGAGGTAACCCAGACCCAGAAAGACAAATATCACATGTACTCACTCATAAGTTACTTTTAGACATAAAGAAAAGAAAACCAGCCTACAATTCATAATCCTAGAGAACCTAGACAACATTGAGGACCCTAAGAGAGACATACATTGATCTAATCTACATGGGAAGTACAAAAAACAAGATCTTCTGAGTAAACTGGGACCATGAGGACCTTGGGAGAGGGTTGAAGTGGAGGGGGGAGGAAGAGAGGGTAGCAGAGAAAAATGCATAGCTCAATAAAATAAATAAAAAAGTTACAAAAGATCTTAGACATCTAGTTATCTAATCTGCATACCCACCAGGCATCACAATGTAATTTGAAAAACAGAAAAACTTGAAGCTGAAAGTTCTCAAAGACATCTTTAAGGTTAGCCTCATGGCATATTCATACTGATACTGGTGTGATCCCCAGCCTTTCTTGCCTAGAACCATGGCAGAGACAATGCCACAGTACGATTGTGAGAATGTGATCTGGGTACACTGACTCAACAAATGTGTTCCAAACTGACTTCTAAGATACTGTGTCAAGTCAGCATCTCATACATGGCAGAGGAAAAGTAACTGAATCAGTTATCAGATACCTGGCTGCACATGACGTCCGTATTCAGACTGAGACTAACAATATGATGCAGGCTTGGGGAATTCACTCAGTCAGAGAAGGACTTTCCTTGCAAGCCTGAGGATGTGAGTTCCAACTACAGGGCCTACATCAAAGAGAGAAAGAAAGCAGGCTGGCCAGATACAGGGGTGGTACTTGTAATCTCAGCCTTGGAGAGGCAGACAGACAGATGGCCAGTCAGCCCAGACAAACCTGCAAGTACCAGGCCAGTGAGCAGAACCCGAGGAACTGGCCCTTTGATCTTTACACACATGCCATGCCCATGTACCCACACAAAACTGTAATGCAAAATTGTTCTGTCCCTACCTCAACATAGGTTAACATAAAGTTGCTTGCTGGTGTCTATTTTGTGTATTATTTTTTTGTTAATAGAGATTTGATTGAGGATATTTAAAAATAAATAAATACTGAACCCAACTCTGGAATTCTGATGTGACTTGCACATGCTCAGCTGAGACTATTTATTTAGCATTTCCTGTATGCTTGTCACCCTTTTATGGAAGTGATAATATTTCTATTACTATAATCAGCTCAGACCCATGTGAATAGAATACAATAATTCGAAGCATAGCCTACTTCCTCACAGGGTTTTAGAAATGGTGTATGAGCAGAGGTCTGGGGTGTCCAATTACCTGGAGCAATGCTTGTATCCATGTTGTACACTGCATTTGTAATGGCAAAAGCTTTCTAGGCGCCTTTCTTCCTCACAGCTACCTGGCTGAAGCTGCAACTGAAGAGGGATTAATTTATGCTAATTCCACACAACAAGCCCAAATCCATTTATCAGCAGTTTCCATTCCTTAGCAATGCATACAAACACACCTAAAACATGGGGGAAATTAAGATAGGTGGCTGCTGCTGTATGGAGCAGTAATAGACCCCCTTTATATGCAGGCCGAGGTCAGCAAACATAAGCCAGCCACAGAACACTGAGGACAGCACCACCCACTCTCCCCACTGCTGTTGGCTGTGCTGATCCCCTGTCTACGGGAAATGGCTAAGAGATGCAGACCTTGAATGTCTAATGAATTGTACATTGTAGATCCCAAAATGCAGAAACTAATGTTGTCCAAAGAATGTGATGATTTCCCAAAAGTATTAATGCTGCTTCATTAAGAATGATCATCTGAGGGTGAATGATGTCAGGTTGGAAAATTCAACCCAGAAAAGAGGAAAGCAGTAGATAGGAGATGGAAGCAAAGATAAGTTCAATTGTGTCTGTGTGCTCCCCTTCATATGTGTAGGAACACAGTTAAGGTAATTTCCTCTTATTATTTTCCATGCATTTCAAAGTTTGTGCCAGGCATAGTGGTGTGCACCTGCAATTCCTGGACTCAGAAAGTAGGCAGAGGCAGGCAGAGCTCTGTGAGTTAAGGATCATCCTGGTCTGCATAATGAATTTTAGGATAGCCAAGGCTTTATAGAGACCCTGTTTCAAGAGAAAAAAAATAACTACAAAAAACTTAAAATGTTATCCCTTCAAGTAATCTTTATGGTTTTCTTAACTGTTCCTCACTTCCATTCTGCTTGTGCTACAGGGGCCTTCTGATTGGTATTGGTATTAGTATTTTAACTTCCATAATGCCTCTGACTGCCCTCATCGTCTGTGGTTCCTCTGGACTTCATTTGTTCACTGAAAACTAATGGTTTACATTAGAGACCTTTTATATTTTATCCTCATTCCTTTCATATGATAACAATACTTTGTAACTAATAATGACGGGGGAGGGGAAGCAGAGTTATTTTAAAACAATGCAGTGGTTGAGCTTGAGGGAATTGTGTGGAAATACAAAGATAACAAGATTGGTTGGGAGAGGACAGTTCTTCTATCATGATCTTTCTGTCTGCCTATCTGTCTATCCATGACCCATCCCTTTGTATACACAAGTATGTGTCATCAAAGTTTAAAAGTCGATGGTCCAGTCTGGTCTAGAGAGGAAGTTACAAGATAGCCTCCAAAGCTACATAGAGAAACCTGGACTTGAAAAACAAATATAAAAAAGCGTATGATCTAGGAATCTAGGAACCTAAGGACTCCTTTTAAAGCATAATATATTAACTCATGTCACTTGTGAATTTTTTTATATGCTATCTATTACCTTTGGCTTAACCTGTTTCCTGAAAAATGTGCTTTCTAGTTTCTGGTCCTTTATATCAGGCAGGGTATATAGAATTGTATTTGTGTGTGTTTGAATGGCTCAGACTGAAGTCTTCTTTCTTCTTCTATCTAGTTGAAGTCCTGTATGGCATTTAGCACTGAACACCTAACTGCTTTTGTTTGTTTCATGCGGTCGATAGCCCTTGCCTTCCATCTGTAAAAAATAGTCAAGATAATATTTGTAACAATGGAATGTGTTCTTTGCTCCTGTAATATTCTACTGATAACAGTATGCACACAGATCTCTTTCTGTGCTTTGTTAATGGCACCAAGAGCTTCATTTTCTTAGTTTAAATATGAAGCACCTTGGATCCGGTGTTCCACTGCACTGAGGTCGCCTAATCAGCTCACACACAAGGACGTTCATTGCACAAAGTTGCTAGACTTACAGCAGAGACAGAACAAATGGGTTCCTTATACTCAGTGCCTGCTAAGAGCTGATCCTCCTGCATAAATTAAGCCAATTTCCTGAGAAGAAAGCTTAGATTTTTACTTTGCACCAACTTTATGCTCGTATGAAATATGCTTTCTAATAGTAGCTGAAATATAATCTTGCAAAAATCAGACAGAGCCGATGCAATCATGGCTATTGCCTGAGACCATTAATATTGTAGTCATTTGCTTCTGAACTTTTCTGCTTAGATGACCGGAGCATCACCCTCTTGGCTCTCAACAGAGAAAAGTCATAGAAAGGGCGCTTAAAGGTCACCTGCATTTCTGGGCATTGGGCTTTGCTTAAATGGATGGAAGGTAAAGGTCACGGTCCATGCTTCCGCAAGTTTCGGGTGGATTGTTTTCAGGTTTGAGGTGTACCACATTTGCCAATTGTCAGTTCTTGACATGGTAAACATTAATTGAAAACAGTCTTTACAAGTGCAAGAAGCTTGACCTTGAGGATAAGCGTTGGAGTTGAGGAGCTATGTTTCATAGAAGTGCCTTACAAAGAAAACGCAGAGACAGAACCTCAAGTGTGGAGATATTTCAGCTTTGTCTGTGAGGAAGTTTATATATGAAGTGCTGGAGTTCCTGGGGTAGGTTGCCACAAATTTTAGACATTATTGGGCCTATCACATGACATTCCTTTCCTCCAGAATCAGGGTGTTGACCTTCCCAAGCATTCACTGAGTTTCCTGGGTGCAAAATAAAATGTTAGCATGCTCCATAGCTTTCCAGTTCTTTGTCTTGTTTCTGCCAAGGTAGAGATATGACTAAGTCATATTTCTCTCTCTCTCTCTCTCTCTCTCTCTCTCTCTCTCTCTCTCTCTCACACACACACACACACACACACACACACACACACATACACACACACACACCTCCTATTTATGGTTTGACTGTCTTTTGACTGTGCTTAGTTGGTAAAATTTGCATATAATACATATAAACCATACAAAAGAATAATATTAAAAATAGAAATGCAGACTATTTCTGACTTAAAATAGCTTCCCATGTTTCTACCTTATAATAACATGGAAATGTACCCATAGAACCCTTCTGCTGCTCTTTTTAATATACTACTCAGTAAATTACATAAGACATTGAATGTTTTATTACAGACTAAGGTTTGTTTTTTTTTTTTTTAAGATGATTTTACCCAACCAAGTGTTTGCTCAGGTAGGGGCTCTGAGCACATTAAGATGGGCTTCACTGAGCTATATGGAGTAGGTTCCATGTTTGATAGTTTGTTCTTACCGTGGCTTTTTATCAGGATGTAAACTCATCAGTAACATGTGTTCGGTAATTAATTATAATGACAGCAGCAATGCTAGAATGACAAGAAATGCTTATAAAGAGATTGATTAGTAGATATAACAACTCAATCCTCAAAGACATCCAGTCGGGCATGTGCTATTATTCTTCAGCTACATTAGACAAACTAAGATGAAGCAAACTGTCCAAGTCTAGAGAGTAGATGTTTGGTTGAACAGAGCTAGGACCTCTTCTGTTTTCCCTTGATCCACTGTAGGGCTTAGACAGACAGGTTGGAGCATTTTCAGGATGGGGGCACACTCAGATGCATGCATAGCTGTGGTCCGGTGACCTGTATATCCCAATGGTTTTCCAGGACCTACCAATATTGTGTGTGAGCCATATGGACCTTCTCAAGACTATGCTAATGTTTGTACTTTATATGTTCCCCCAGCTCCCCTGGTGGACCTCACTCCAACCCACAGTGGATCTGCCATGCTGATGTTGCTCTCAGTCGTGTTTGTGGGTCTGGCTGTATTCGTCATCTACAAGTTTAAAAGGTGCGTGCTCCCCCATCCATCCCCTTCCCCCAACCTCTTCCCTCTCTCTGACAGGTTCAGAAGCAATAAATCACCTTTGGAACAGAGCGATGATGCTTTCTATTAATGTTTTAGGAAGATTCCGGGGATTAATGTTTATGCCCAGATGCAAAATGAGAAAGAACAGGAGCTGATCAGTCCAGTCAGTCACACTGAAAGCAGGCCCAGTGTCCCTCACCCTGACCTCAGGTGGCCTGGCCAGCTTGTAGATGAGAAGGTGGAATCGCAGCACCTAGGTAAATGATGCCCAGTGGTTATCAGCTTGCCAGGCTGAGTAGTCCACACTAACCCACCTTCTAACCCCTTTTTGGCTTCACATAACCACTTTTTCTGTTCTAACACTTGTGAGAGAAACAGCTAAAATGCCCCTTTCTTGCTCTTTTGTAGCTTTTTTACTCTCCTTTAAATTTCCCTCCTTTAAACAAAAAAGAAAATGGGTTTCTAAAACTCCAAGCTTCAAAGTATATTAGCAATGAGCATATAGTCTTTCACTACTGCTATTGAAGGAGGAAAAGCTGCAGTGGCTGGGGGAGGTAGGGAGAAAGGCAGGCAGTAAGCAAGTTGCGCACAAAACCGCAGTCTCTACTAAAGATAGCTCTAAGACAAGACTGTTTTAAAATACCAGAAGAACCCAACAAAAGAATATTGGCTAACCTGACAATTAGGAAGAGATTTTGGTATTTTGTTCTGTTTTTGGTCCAGTGCTGCCTTGAAAATATCACCCATATGAAAACCGAGAACAAGGAAGGGCGAGCAGTTTGTAAAATACTTAGGATTTGGGGGTGTTAAGAGACCAATCGGAGAATTAGGCTAGAGAGGTGCCTTTCTCTGTGATAACTACAAGCTTTGGCATTGGATGACAATGCTGCTCTGTCTCTCTGGGGCCAAAGCATGGGAGTCTGACACCTAGCTGGAGGAAGCCTACAGCTCAGCTGGTAAATCTTACTGTGTATTACAGAAGATGTTTTTGAGGAACTAAGACAAATTAATGGAACCGTCATGGCCGATCCCTCTTCTTCCTTGGGTCCCGCTGTCTATGGCTGACTAAGATGGGGAAATTACAGGATAGTTCTTCATACTAAAGTCATGAGGCCAGATCACCTAGAATGCCTTCAGAGACAAGATTTTTAATCTGTTTCTTGGGAACAAATGAGTTTAAATGGATATGAGAACGGCTGTGGCTGTATTGGGGAAGTTTAAATGCAATGAATAGCACCAGCCAGAGATAATAATAACAATTGCAGCCACATCTGGTGTCCAATTTTCACAGTTCATTTTCTTTCATTTGGTGGAGACAGGGTAATAAAAAGACACAATAGCATTGGGTTAAGAAGTACAAAAGCTTTTCTATCTGACTGTCCAGTGTAACATCACCTATTCTGCCTATCTGCTTCCAAAGCATCCCAAATGCTGCATGATCTAGGGGGTCGTTTGGTCCTCTGTCTCCATTTCTGTGGTGTGAATCACAGTAGCTGCTTATTAAAGTGACGGTTCCTCCTTTGCTAGCCACATCTCGCGCACATTGCAGTCTCTGATTCCTTTCTATTTCCAGTGTGATTAAAAATGAGTAAGTGTTACACGTTTTCTCTTAGGAGAGTAGCTTTACCCTCCCCTCCCTCCCCTTCTTCTCAACCTGGTGACTCATCTCTCCGATTGCAAAGATCAAGACAAGCCACTCCACCTTCATCGCCAAAGCGGGGATCTGCTGGGGCACAATTTGCAATCTAAGGAAAACCCCCAAAGACTACAGGAGACCAGCTGATCAGAAAGAATTGCTCTCTTGTCAAGTACATCAACCTTCCTGACCACTAACTTTATGTTTTTTTTTTCTTCTGTTGTTGTTTCCTATTTTGCCAGGAAGTATTTCCATAGTTGCTGAGAATCAAAGCACAAAAGAAACCCCTACCTATGTAAATGTTTGAATGGAGGACGCCAGTAAAACAAACAAAAATAAAATAAAAACAATCACAATCTAAACTAACAAATAAACACTCACTGCATCGGAACTTTTAAATCCTTCAGACACAGACAACAAGGGTTTTTAGCTTTAAGCCTGTGCATGTGGACAATACCTTGAGAACACGTTCGGAGGGGCGGTCTACAGGTGCTCTATTTTAATGGAAAACACTCCCCTCCCCTTCTCTTCTCTTTTTCTGATCTGTCGTGTTTGTAGAAAATTCATAACATATATAGGCCAAGGAAATCTGCATGTATTTTTGGAAACATTCTTGGCTCTAGATTTCACAGCTATTTTAGCCCTACAGGCTGATGGTGAATTAGCCATCTCCAGCCTTTTCACAACACACAAAGACGCGCACAGGAGTTTGAAACCCTGAGCTGCTTCTCTGTTTTACTTGTTGGTATTTTTCCTTGCTAAGTTCGTGTTAGAGGCTCTGTTGGTCAACGGTGACCTCAGGCTGATTTCTCTCCATTCTCTGTGGCCGTAGGAACAAAGATCCTTCATAAAGGTCCGTATCTATATAGCAGGTTCAGTGGGAACAGAAGGGAGGCTGGGAACCAGAGCATATCAGAAATGAACCTCTGCTTCCTGCTCAGCTTTTCTCCTTGCCCCAAGTAATGAAAAAAAAAAAAAAGACAAAAAACAAAAAGTGGGAAATTTTTTCCAGTACATACTTGTTATTCTGTTTGTTTGCTGTGTGTGGACATGTTTCTCTTGATGTCTCTCAATTTTTTCCTTTTTATCCCCCATTATCTTTCTACAGCTCTCATGCCTTCTCCTCAAATGTGTTGCTAGATTTTGGACATTAAACCTGTTAATTCCAAACACTGGCCTAGCCGATGCCAACCCTGGCGCCTTCTCTCACAGGTCTTCATCCTGTCAATCTTCTACACTCCCACGCATGCCAGCTTCCCTCACTCTGGCCAGGCTGCTGCAACGTGCCCAGCTGGCTTCAGTTACATTTCCCCTTTTTCTCTTCCTCTAGAATCTTCTTTTGCCAAATACCTCTGTCTTTCCCACCTGGAAACATATACTTGTGTGTGAAAGAGTTGATACACACAAAGCAACCCAAATCTGCCCATATACTTTGGAAAGTAAAACATTTGAACAGTGATGGTTTTCTGTGCATTAACAAAAATCTTATGTGGTCTGAATCTAAAAGATTCTCATGAGAAATGTTTTGAATGTGTGACTATATTGCAGGGTACTATGTTCTATGATAGTTGCTGTTATCTGATATTTCCTCTCTAGAATAAACATGTTTATAAAATAAAGCTGATTTTTTAACCAGAAGGAAAAGTAGGTTAATGGACTTACTACATAAAAATATTGAAAAAAAAACGCTAAAAAAAATTAACCAGTCTTGTCTTTTGTCTGGATGAGGCTTTGGCAGTTTAAGATGATCTCACTCATTTCATGTGTGCAATTTTGATCTTCAACTGCCATGTTATTTATAAGGGAAAAATAAGTCAATATAAAAGAGGAATATCTGCTGACAGAAAAGTAAGGTTCACAAACCTCAGGGCCTTAAAAAAAAAAAAAGAAAAAAATCAGTTTCCAAAGAGAAATCACGAAAGAAGACTCCCAGAAAGGAGCAGAGCGTGTGCCCCAAGGAGGTCCTTTCATATGACTGAAGCCTCCTTATTTCTTTGCATTAGACAGAGACTGCTCTTAAGTAAGGATGAAAGACATTGTAGTAAACCACTTTTAGAACCCGGCCTCTTTCTTGGCTGTGTCCCAAAGCCAACAACAGAGGATTGGCAAGGAACCTGGTGTATCCCAGTGATCAGTATTATTTCTACCCTTGGGTGACCGGTTCAGTGATCACATGACCCCTGCACATGTATGGCCGAGGAAAGGGGAGAGTAGAAAAACTGTTGTCAGAGGTGATTCAAGAAGAAAGCTTTATGGTAGAAGATGTCCATGTGATTGGGGCAGTAAATTATGCCCGGGAACATAATCAGCCCTCAACCTGCCAGGTTTTCTATCTCATAGGAAAAGTCTTCATTGATTCTCTTCAATTGGAGTCTTCCATATTTAGTCTGGAAGATAAAGTATTTGAAAACCAAATCATATTCATTCAAACCAGCACAGGGAATCCTCGGAGTTGCAGTTCAAATTATTCTAACTAGAAAATTATTATTGAAAAATGGAGACCACTCTTGATTTAGTACAGTGCCTTGCCTAGAATAGTATTATGAAATGTATTTCCTGGTGAAATGAAGGTGAGTAAATGAAGAGGCACAAGGAAGAAGGGGCTGTCAATTTTCATCTAAAATAGAGACAGGCATGCGATACCTGGCGTCCTGGAAAGTGACCTAAGTGGCCAGTGATAGATTCAGCCTCTCCAGTGTTCTTGTGTGCCTCTCCTCAAAGTTCCCTCCCTCCTGTAGGTAACTGGTAAGACAAGGGGACCTCATAGTTCCTGTAACCTGGCCTCGTGGTTCTCAAAGTGGAAGGCTTAGGATGACAGCATCACTGTCACCTATACTTGTTTGAAATGCGGACTCAAACCAGGCTAAAACACACTCTGCTATGTTAGAAATTCTAACGGATCAATAGTGTCGTTTTCTACTTATGGGGCAGGTGCCCCCAACAATCTGTTTCAACAAGCCATTCAGGTGATTATGATACATACTCAAGTTTGAGAACCTCCATACCAGGTCTTGCTGTAAAATCCCAAGGAGAAAGTAACATTGAGAACCTACAAGTGGGAAGGACCCAAGTGCCTATCTCTCACTAATAGCAGCTGCAAGTACAATGAGGAGTCTGGTGAACTCAAGGCCAAAGGAGTGTGGAAGGAATGTGTAGAAAGTAAGATTCCAGGCAAGCTAAAAAAAGGATGCTGCAACATTGCTTAAGAGCCCAGAGGGCAAACTGTGCACGCTGTACCCAGAACTACCCACCAACATTTCCCCTTTGCCTTATTCCTGATTGGATTCACTGTCCAAATTGCAGAGGTTTGCTTTGATTTTCTTTTCCAGAAGTTCCAAACAGCAACATTGAAAGCAATGGGGTGCTTGGCAGCTGTTCTGTGTTTCCCAGGATTCCGACTAGGCACTGAAACCCCTCATTTGCCAACTTATTTTTATAGGAAGCCAATTTAAAAATAAAATGAAAGTTTTCTTATAGTATTGGAACTACTTCTAATTTTAAATGACTTTTTGATGTATTTTTTGTTAAATACTATGTAGTGTAATGTATAATTGCTCTTGTTTATTGCTTTTACAATCATATTTATTAAACAGATAATGTCTCTAAAGTCTTGACCTCAATGTGTTTATTTACTGTCAAAACATGGTCTAGATATTTTAATATAAAATGATGTAGTTATAAGACTTCATAAATGCTAATTGTGTGAGTACATCTTTAACTGTGTACCCTTGAGTTTTTAACTCACAATGTGCTCTGTTCCCTGAACTCTATTTTCCATCCCAGTTGACTGTACAATGTCTGTTACTTTATTCAAGTACAATGTTGCATTGAAAGATCACCCCAAAGCGGTTATTTTGGAATGAACAGTATGTCTATGGCTATTAGTTCAAATGTGTATTCTATTAATAAGGAGCAAAACTATTTTTTTGTTTTTGTTTTTTTTATTTTCGAGACAGGGTTTCTCCGTAGCTTTTTTTTTTTGTTCCTGTCCTGGAACTAGCTCTTCTAGACGAGGCTGGCCTCGAACTCACAGAGATCCACCTGCCTCTGCCTCCCAAGTGCTGGGATTAAAGGCGTGCGCCACCACCGCCCGGCAGCAAAACTATTTTTTAAGAAAAATCTATGGTTACAGAAGGACAAAACCTGAATGCAATGAAATGGAACTTGGGTCATGTTCAGGGGTCCTTCGGTAGACAGAAAGAACTTTGCACTGCGAACTGGAGAAGGAGCTTCTGCATCTGGCTGTGCAGCTGTGTGACCTTGAGCAAATTTGCTCCCACAAACACAAACTGCAGTGTCTTTCTGCATATAGGAGGAGAAGGATGACCCCTTCTAGTTTTGTCATTCTTTGGGGGGGAGTCATTTCCAAAAGAGGGCTTTAGGTGGTTTGCAATTAGTGGAAATAAAAATGTGGAATAGATACAAATATTTTCATTCATGTGGCTTGCCCACATAATTGAAATTTCATTGGACATATGTTGTTCCTCATATTGGGTCTACTAAACCACCCTTTGCCTTCCCAAAGGTCTATTGGGGTCAGAATGTCACTGCTAATTAACCCAGTTTCAGAATGAGAATCCTGACTGTTTTTTAGCCTGCCTTTAACTTCACAAATTAAGTACTCTGATCCTTCGATCTTTTCCAGGCCAGATAGTATGCTGTTCTGGCTTAACAGAGCGGGCTATCTCTTGTGTCAGTCAGGTGGGGTCAAAAAACAATGTCCCTAGGTAATTCATACAGAAGTGATTAAACATGAGATTTGTTGCTTAAATAACAAAAGAGCCAATTTGCCAACAAAGAGCACATAAGCCTCAAGAGGAAGCCTGGAATTTTGCAAAGCTGGAGGGACACAGGTATTTCCAGAGTTCTTAGGCTGGGACAACTAACTGAAGCTGAGGACACAGCATGTACATCTGGCCAGAACTCAAGCCATGGAGAAGGCACAACCCAGGCCAGTGATGCTGCCGTTGTGGGCACCAGAGTCTATGAGATGCCAATTAATGAGACAGAGAGTAGAAAAGGAAGTGTAGAGGGTGAGTTTGAAAGAACAGACTAGTAAGGGGAACAACCGAGATCAAATGGAGAGAGCTCTCCTGTCCCCCACACAGGTTAAATGGATATGCCCTTCTCTGACTTGTTTGTCACGTGTACATGTTTAGATGGTTGATGTAGTGTCTAAGTGAGTGTGGCCTGTTATACTTTTCTTCCCAAATCCTATGCTCATTTAGGCAAGAATCTATATTTTAGCTTATTCTTTACATTCCTTCATTATCGACCACTGGACATTGCCATTAGGGGGCACTGGATAGATGTTTGATGAAACTCAAACCCTGACTTTTAGCTTAGCATTGTCAGTAAGTCCATTTTATTTAGCACTGATCTCTGAGGTGGCTTCACGGGGCAAACCTAACACGGCCAGCACCTCTAATTACATGTCCAATTGCTATTTGTCAAGAATCAACACCTCCCTGCCCTTCCTCCCTGCTAGTGCTCAAACTGCTGTGTTCAAAGAGCTATTCTTAGACATTAATTTAAGGAAAATAATTGCTGTTTAGAAAAAAAAGAAAGGAAAAATACTAGCTAGAAAGTGGGATAAAAATCAAAGTCCTAATTTTGGTTTCTGAATCATCAATAATTTCTCTGCTTCTTTTCTATGGAAATAATAGAAATAGTGTTTGAAAAAAAATCACGTTTGGGACTGGCAAGGTAACTTTAGAAGGTAGAGATGTTTGTGCATAGTCTAAAAATGACCTGAACTACTCAATCCAGATCCCACAAGGTGGCAGACGTGAACTGACTCCCCAGAGTGGTCCTCTTACCTCTATATGTTCATCCTGGTGTGCATGCACTTGCGCGCACGCACACACACACACACACACACACACACACACACACACATACACACAATTAATTGATTAAGAAAGAAAAATGAATATTTAAAGAAAAAATGCATATTTGGATGTTGCTTTCATAATAAGAGAATCAAAAAATGATTCCAGGTAAAAGAATTGCAGGAAAATGGCTATTATAAATGTGACATACACGGAGAGGAATCTATGGTATATATATATATCAAAATTCAATATATATGAATTGATCTGTATGTGCAAACATAGTTATAGACAATGATAACACAATTGCCAATAAGGCAGATATTTTATAACTGCCTTCATAAAATATGCATGCTAATGGGATAGTAAAAAACTGTATAATTCACTATAACATATACTGCTATTTTACATAAACGATAGTTTCAAGACACTGAGGTGTAAAAATAAAACATCATATGAATTGGAGTGATAGGGACAGGAATAAGGAAGAGGGTAGTTTGTCTTCACCAGAAACAATGTCTAGATGTCCAGGGAATGTTTCTCTTGGATCTGAAAGGCTGGAAACTAGACAATCTGTTTGGAGACAAAGTGCATTGCCTGTTTTCAAAGTTAACCTTGGGATTGCATCAACCAGAAAACAAATCCAAGGGAATGCTTATGGGAAAATAGACTTCTCATGATCAAGAAGCAAGTGCATTTAAAAAAAGAAGAATCGCCACACTTTACAATACAGCACAATAAAAGTCCCCTACAACTCAGAGAGCATCACAAGGAAAGCCCGGCAAGCACCTTCACATACCTCATGCCTGGAAGCTCAAAACAGATGAAAACCATAATTAATAGGTACCAACCCCACTAAAATGGGAGGGCAGATTAATTTTTTTGTTTGTTTCGTTTTACACAAAATAACACCATAGAATAGTGCAGTTGATAGTTTGAAAGTAATTTGAACTGGCTTTCGTGCTGAGGCAGGAGGATCACCACTTGGCTTAGCTACTTAAAGATGCCATCCCAAAAGCAAAACAAAGAGGAAGTATCTGCATATACTAGTTGAAAGAAGAGGTCCTTTCTGGAAGGAAAGGGGAAAGATAAAACAAGACAACCCTCATAGCTATCATCATTTCAGTCTGAGGCCCCTAGATAAGCATGACATCATAACCCACTTCCCAGCACCCGGAAGCAACACCCAGTTTACAAATTTCACAGCAATACACATTTGACAACCTGACTCTGTTCCCAGGAATACTAAACTATGATTAGAGCAGCATTACTGAGGGTTATGTGAAGCCAGCATTTGAGGTTCTCTGTGACAAGACAAGTGAAGGGTTTTAAAGGTAGGCACACACTTCCAGATATAAAAACATGTCATGAACAACACTAATGTATTTAGATATGTGACTCTGTATGTACCTGCTTAAAAGCTTTAAATAATGTTAACAACAGCTTTTAGGTATAGAAGAAAAGACTAAATGAGTGCATAAAACTAATTAAAGGCATCATGACAGAACTGTATTTAACATAGATGATTTCCATTAAAATTATTTTTCTAGAGGCTGGAGAGATGGCTCAGCAGTTAAGAACATTGGCTGCTCTTGCAGAGGATCCGGGTTCAGTTCTCAGCACCAACAAGGTGGCTCACAAGCATCCGTAACTCCAGTTCCAAGAGATCCGGCATCCTCTTCTGACCTCCACAGGCACCAGGAACACACGTGGTGCACAGATATACATCCAGGCAAAACACCCATACACATAAAATAAAAATAGAATTATTTTTCCTAAGTAGAGGCATAAGAAAATTTTGTGAGATGTGAACAGCAGAATTTAAAATGTTTCAGGATGAAATAATAGTTTGTACAGAAACCACGGGGCGAGGACCTCAGTGATAGAGGTCTACTTGCCTAACACGCAGTGCCCTGGATTCATTCACCAGTACCTGCCACAAAATGTGAATATGTACACACATGTAAATAAGTAAGACTGAATAAAAATCTAAAAATGTATATTACCCCTTGTTATTCCTAATTTCTAAGACCATGGATGGTTTAATTCATTCCCTTTGTCTTTGAAATGAACATGTAGTCAGTTTGCATACACTTGGACTAAATGTACTTTAAATCAGGTATGAAAGACATTATTATAAGGAACTCTATATGCCTATTTAGTAATAATATAATTGTAAGCTGTATATAAAGTTCCTAGGAGCATCACAATTATTGAAGTATGTAATTATTCTCTTTAAGAACTAAAAATTAAACAACTCTGAATGTCATTTTTATCAGTTGAAATTCATACTGAGATGAGACTATTACTATGCTGTTTTCGTATCTGTAATCCATGAAATTTCTGAATATATTTTGTTCATTTTAATTCAATTTTTAGGTTATCATGGAAAGCAATGAGTTTCACTTTGACATTTTCTTACACATGTATCATTATTTTTTACAATCATTTGTTTCCTCACCAACTCCAATAAACTTTCCAAGGTTCAAAATACTTAAAATGTATAATCTTACTACTCATGTGCACACACACACACACATACATATTTATATATGATCTAGATAACAAATTTTATAGCATAAAGGTATGATAACTAGATTAAAGAAAATTTTATAGCATGTTGGCAGATATAAGTGCACACTTATACATTATTTATGTACATTCACACATATGTAAAAGTTAACTCATGTGTTATCTATGAAAAGAAGGGACAGTGATCCATTATGGGTCATAAACACACAGGAAGGTGTGCTATGATGACCTAGACCTATTGTTTGCACTGTTTTGTCCATCCCAAACCAATGCATTTTGAAGACTGTCATTCATCAGCCACAATAATAAGCTCCAATAATAGGAAAAAATGAAGGCAGATTTACTCTGAGTTGAGTATGAAAGTTGTTTCACACACCCACCACCTCACTTTTTGTAGTCATCTTGTTGATTTTCTAACAAGCAACTGTTTCCTTTAGCCTGTTTCAGACACTAAAAAGGATGTCAACAGCACTTAGTAATAGTACCAATGTGTTTATAGTACTTTCTATACCAGGGCACACATACAGACTTGACAACTGGCTAGGACTGGCCTAGTCCAGTAAGTATTGAAGAACTCTGGAGAGGAAGTTTTCATTGGCTGGTGCCAAGACACAAAGGCAGTACTGATAGAAGTCGACTTAATTATCAGTGGAATCACATATGCAAATGAAGGTGGGGATGTGCTAGGACACTAAGCTCTCAGCCTCCAGATTTTTCTATTGAAAATAAAGAGAATAAACACAGAAGTAAAATGAAGAAATTGTGAATGGTGAATACAATAATATTAGAGCAACTCTTATTTTTAAAATTGTATATATCATTGTGTACTTGTTATGCTATTCAATTATTATAAGGACTTCAAGGGAGAGTGGTTGTTTTCTCTTTTGTTAAGTGGAGTTCAGAAAACAGGAAAGACTCACTGTGATCATTGTCACAGAAATGAATTCCCCAGGGGTCCTGCTCCCAACAGGGCTCAGCTGTGTGCTCCATTAAACCGAGCTGTTCAAAACCATGCAAATCATTTTCCAACTTCTTCATGTGCCACATTTCACAGGGCTCAAAAGGAAAGCAGACACAGTTGTCCTCAGCAATGTGCCAGACCAAGTTTCTGTCTGGAAGAGCGCCCATTAAAGATTGAATTCACCCTTCTCTTCTTCAGATCATTGCTGCTGCTGGAAATTTAATGGATCTTGTGAAGGACTATGCATGCATAGCCTCTGAACATTCGGAGAAGTGGGAGGGTAGATGTAATCTCCCCTACCTCTCTTCCTTATTCCCTCCCTCCATTCCATCTCCTTAACTAGCAAGCACAATGGGACTGGGTGTAATTTTTTCCCCAAAGAAATAACCAAGAGAACTACTGAGAGACAAAGAAGGGGAGACAATTTTGTTTACTAGTTGTTTGTACTTCCGAAGACTATCTAGTATGTCATGTATTTACAAATTTCCTATAAATATAATTCCTTCATTTTATCCTCTAGAATTTATATAAAAACAATCCAAAGTGTTTATGACGTGATTCAAGAAAATGCAAATTGTTTAATAAAATCAGGGTCCAAAAAGCCATCAGAAAGTAGAGTTAAAAGTTGTGGTCTGGTGGATACTTACCAGGTTAGAAAATAGATTGGGATATTTGATTAAAATATGCAAATATTGAGGTAGATGTCTTCATTTAAAAATGAAGGACTTAACACTAGAAACTTTAACCACATTTCAAAGATTACAGAATCTTTTCAAAATATGGTACAGTATTTATACAAGGGACAAAGTTATCATTCTTCTGAAAGTGGCATCAAATTCTTTGCTATCCTTTCCTGCTGAGTTACACACATAAAGAATTATTCCATTTGACCTGCATTGACATGAAACACAGGAGAGGTGGGCCATCTAAGCTCTCCAGAAAGAAACAATTGGTATTACTTCTGTCTCCAGGAATTAAGTGGATATACAGGAAGTCTGTTGCAAATACCAACACTAAGTAATTTGACACTTAATAAGTCATACCACATATCTAACACATGAATGCACACCCACACACACAAAATTATCCTTACTTACTAAAGATAATTACATTAGTCTGACATTCATGTTAATGCAAGATGGCCCCATTGCGGTGTGAGACTTTCCCACATTTGTTTTGCACATGGAGTAGAAATTTTCCTTCAAGAACTCAGTATTAATTCTTGTGGTTTTGTTGCATGTGAACACTTTTGATTAAGCATTTTTTGTGTTTATTTGACTTTGTTCTGTTTTGTGTGTGTATTTAAAATATTAATAAATATTTTATTTTTCTTTGGACATTTCATACACACACACTTGTTGAAGGAGCTGCGGGTTGCATTCCTGCTGCCCTGCTCCCAGCTGCCTGGCTAGTTTACGCCCCAAAATAACAACACACAAACTGTATTCATTTAAACACTACCTGTCCCATTTCTATTAATGTGTGTAGCACCAAGGTGCGCTTACTGGGAAGATTCTAGCCTACGTCCATCCTGGGTTGGAGCTTCATTGGGTCAGCCCCAGAGAGAAGAGCTATTGAGTCTGAGCTCACTTCCTCTTCCTCCCAGCATTCTGTTCTGTTTACTCCGCCTACCTAATTTTCTGTCCTATCAGGGCCAAGGCAGTTTCTTTATTTAACCAATGACCTTCCTCCATCACACACACACACACACACACACACACACACACACACACACACTATATATATATATATATATATATATATATATATATATATATATATAACATCCAAATCCCCATTTTCCTTTTTACCTCCTCACAGACTTCCTGCATTGCATCCTCCACCTAGCTACATGTTTTGTTTTGTTTTTTAATTTAACCGCTGAGCTTAGTTGTTGCCATCCACATGTGCATGAGTGTAAGGACAATCACAGAAGCATGGGCAGTTTTCCAGGGGTTATACCACTAAGTGAGGTTAATATTTCCTCCCCAAGCAGTTATCCACTGCCAATAGCTCCTCATCTACTGGTGGAGATTTATGAACCTTTCCTCTTTACATGCTGGGATGCTGACTGGCTTGACTTTGTACAGGTCTTGTGCAAGTAGCCACAACTAATGTGAGTTTATGTGTGCAATGATGTTCAGAAGATATTGTCTCACGGCAGTTCTTCCCAATATCTGGCTCTAGCAATCCCTTAGTATTGGGTAGAGAGTTGTAATATGGATGTCCCATTTTGTGTTAACTCATATGCCTTTCAAATAGAAAAAAAAACCTGGTTTAAGATATCCTCCTGTGTCATGGAGCATCTTGCACAGAAATGGAAAGGAATAAAGAAAAAGACTATAAAAAATAGTGAGTTGGGATGGGCACAACTAACATATTTCCTTAATTTAATGCATTATGCAAAAAGGTATCGAAAACTTACATTTTCCTAGAACAAATTACAAGGACAAAATATTGGTACAATTAATTATACCATCACAAGTCATGCTGATGACAGCAATCCAGGTTGTGGTAGTTTGAATAATTATGTCACCTGTGGAGTCATACATTTGAATACTTGGTCCCCAAATGATAGTGTTTTGGGGAGGTGTAGGAGGTGTGGCTTTGTTGGAGGAGGTATGCTACTATAGACTAAAACTCAGATAAGTTTGAGTTCCCTAGAGAGGAAACTTCCATCTTGTGGTTCTATATACTCGTATTCAGCTCTATCCACCCTGCCACCATTCTGTCATTATGGATCTTCTCCGTCCTAAACCATATATCCAAACAAACTCTTCTATAAATTACTGATCATGGTGCTGTATCATAGCTATAGAAAAATAATAAAAAAATCAGGTGATGCTTGGGATTCCAGAATAGTTAATATCTATTCTTATAAGGCTGCTACTACAGAAAAGAAACTATCAGAAACAAATCATGAGGTCCTATTTACTCTTTTATTGCTGTGAGTAGACACCATGACCAAGGCAACTCCTAGAAAATAAAGCATTTTACTGGAGTTACAGTTTCAGAGGGCTAGTCTATTGTCATCATGGTAAGGAGCAAGGCAACTGGCAGATAGTGTGACTGAGAAGTAGCTAAGAGTTCACATGTGTTCCATAAGCTACAGGTGGAGAGAGTGAGAGATTGGGCCTTTAGAAGCCTCAAAATCCATCCCCATTGATACCTTCTCCTACAACACCAGACTTATCCAACAGGTCTGCATCTCCTAATCCTTCCCAAAAAGGTCCGTTAGTTGTGGAGCAAGCACATAAACATAAAGGCTATGGAAGCAATTCTCATTCAAACGACCACACATACCATCTGAATTCAACTGGCCACATCAAGATATACCATGAAAATAGTGTCTCAGCAAAAATCTAGCAAAAACCAGAGTGCCCACACCTGAAACACATGGTAGATAAGAGAATAGGCTGGATTCAGCCAATATCTGAGTGTCTAGGGATAACCCAAGGTATACCAAATGTACATGTGACTTGTCATAGTCATTATCCAGTTCAGATTTTTGTCTATACTTTCTTCTGAGTGAGTGCTTCACACTACACTTTATTTGTGATACTTGCAGGGTAGCATTAGGAAACAACATAGAAAATTAACTTGGAACTAACTCAGTTTTGACTCTTAGTCAGGTAAACCTTTTTATTATACCTGAAGGCTTGTGTATATGGAATCAAAACTGATCTTTCTTGTAGAATGTGCAGTAAGCAGTTTATAGGAATAACGCTGAAGTGTGGCCAAAATGGTTTATAAAGCCTACAACAGTGGTCTTCTCTTGAATTGTAGAATGGCACCACATGCCATGCACACCTAGGAAGCTGAGATAGGAAGTAACTCAACAAGAGAACAAATGTCAGAGTTCAGAGCACATTGATGTGAAGAACCAAGCCTGTCAAATTTCTTGACTACAATCAGCCTTGGTGAATTACAGAGCTTAACTGGACATTGACAATCATGTGTGCATGTATGTGTGTGGTACATGTGTGTGTTGAAAATGTGTGAATGTGTTCTTGATCGTGCATATGCCCAGGATTAAATGTATAGAGGTCATGGATCTATAGCAGGTGTTTTTCTTGATCACTATTTGTATTATTTTTTGAGATGGAACCTGGAGCTCACCAAGTGGCAGGTATCAAACATACACATAAAATTCTTGAAGAATTCTGTTAGATATACCAATCTCTAACACCATTTGTGCAATAAAATTATTCTTTATTAATTACCCAAGTTTGGTATTTTTCTGTAACAATGAAAAAATGATGAAAACACCTTCCCCAGAGAGAAAGTATAGAGAATAGTAATTAAGGGCTACATGTGGTGGCAAATGCCTTTGGTACAAGCGATAGGGAGGCAGATTCAATCTCTGAGTTCAAGACCAGTCTAATCAACATAGAAAGGTTCAAGCTAGCCAGGGACAGATTTGATAAAGATTAGTCCTTAAACCTAAAGAGAAGTAAGGAACACAAAATACAGTTGTAAAACATAAATAAAGAGCAAGAAGAAAAGAAGAATGACAAGAAGGATTACTTTCTTCAATTTAAAATATACATAGCACAGAGAAGTTTTATAAACTACAGGGGGTGGAAAGTCTTAAAATAAGCATCATAACCCATTGATGAATTGAATTTTATCTGTCAAGTTAAGGCTATTCTTTTCAATGGTATGAATCCTTTCAGCTAATCTCTCATTATTAGTCTGTAAAAAATGTATCATTTCTAAAAGTGTCTCATTGACTGTTATCAAACTATTTCTTTAAGGATATAACATGAAGAAGTAGGCTAAGTTCCATGATCACAAAAATGGATATACTAGGAACTCAATATAATCCTTACAGAATTCCATCCATAGTAGAAACAAAAAGGTTATTAAATTTCTGGATGATGATGATATTGTCTGCAATTATCTTTGGGTTTGTTTACAATTTTCAAATTTATTCATTTATTTATTAATCAAATGAACTTACCTCCATTATATTTTTTTCAGGAAATTGTTGCAGCTGTAATAATCTCTATTGGCCAGCAGGTGTCGTGGTTGCTGACGCGGGGTGAGGAGACACCACCAGCTGCAACATGAGCAGTCCCGCTGTAGTTCTGCAGTGGTGGTGGCAAACATACTAACAAATTAAGAGCTATTAAATCAATTACATATACAAAGACGGTCTGAGTGAAACTCAGAGCTTTCAGGCAATTGCGAGCTGTGAAGTTACTGACTGGAGTTTAGGACAGGCATTTGTGGATCCGAACTGGGAATGCTAACGGGAGGTCCCTGTCACTGGAGACCAAGCTAGGCCCCATTAAAGCATACCTGGC